CGAGATGCGCACATGAAAAGCCACACACAAGGGACGTCCAAAGAGATGGCAAGGGCCAAAAAAAAAAAAATGGAGGAACCAAAAAAATTCTGAAAATTTCTATGGCATGAATTTACAACATAACTACCCTGAGGTTTATCACTATTGTAAGCATCACCCCTCGAGTTTAGAGATCAAATTCCTCTTGCCAATACAAGGGGATACAGGAAATTACTGCAGGGAGCATGTCAAACTAAAAGAGTAACAGAAATAGTTCCCTAGCATATTTCAATATTATATCTTGAATATGAAATTTATCATTAAGTGACACAAATAAACATTAACAAAGTTCTACCATCCATCCGAACACCTGACAAGTCTCACAATTTCAAACTCCAATAGCCTCTTCATTCATGAAGCAGCACTAGTAATATAACGCCTGAAGGTTGTAACCAGACAGAAATGCCAAAACCAGCTAACAACAAAAGTAACAGTCATCGATTGGGAAGTACTTCACTCTTTTTGCATTAGAAAGTGAAATCAAGCTAATGTTTGCTTATGTTAACATAAAGCTCTCAAACAAACGCAGCCAAGCAAATTTAGCATACATCCCAAGTCCAAACTAACATAATATTCTAGCTAATGAGACTCACTTATCCCACTTAAGGCATATACTACATGATAAAAGGGCAAAATAGAGGGTAACACAAGTTAAACCTCAGTAACCATAAAAAATACATATCCAAAAACCAAAAGATACACCCACGCCATACTAGTGCTATCGGAATGTATGCTCTAGTGAAGGGTGTAATACATATATTTGAACCCAAGAATCTATCAGTAAAAGTTAGAAAAGCATTTTCGCTGAATGTGCTACAATTTCTCGAGAACTTTCTTGCAATTGCTCTGTTGATATTTTAGCAAACACAGAGGTACTAAGATTGTTTTCTGTGCAATCTTTCATTGGCTCTGCCAAAATAGAACCTACTGCAAATTGGAAAGTAACAAATTTCAAGATCCAGACCTTTACTCACGTAAATACCACCATAGTAACACCATTTGCATACAACTCCATAGTTGGGTAATTGGAGACTTTCATTGAACTCTAAAATTAGACAGAAGACATGGCTTAAGAGAGCACCCAAAGGGGAACAGTTAGCTGCTATCTGATGACTTAAAGTACTTCCCCGACTGAGCAAGACAATGACATGAGAGATACTGTACTCATATTAAAGATAAAACACAAACATGCATACAAAGACAACCACTACACGAACACTCGATGTGTACACTTGAAAATGTAGAGAAACACATAGACAAAGGAGCTGAGGTCGCACATTCCAATTCCCCATTATCATTAATCTAGAGTTCTTTAAGTCTGACGAGCATGACCTCTCTCTCCTCCTCCTCGTCCAAACCGGGAGGATCAAACACCTTAGCTTGAAAAGTCTTGATATCATCAGTTTCAGCCTCTCGAGCTTGGAAGGTAATGAGAAAGATTTCCCCATTACAAGAGTATGAAACTACCCTCTCAATACCTTGGAACTCGTATGGTACCCCCTGCAGCAATGCAACAACTCTTGTAAACTAGACTCTAAGATGCCCCACAAAATTCAGCAAGTAGACGGAACAAATTTAGAAGCAATTGGATAATTAACAAAAGAATTGGGAACAGCGAGAGGATGCCAGCAGCAAATAGATCAAACCTTGCTATCTCTGTTGTCACTGTTGAATTGGGCAACTGCCAACTGAGACATTTCAATAGCATCTGTTCGAAGTTGGCAAGGTTCCTTAAACTCGGGTCGAGGGACGTACACAGCTGCGAAACAAAGACCCGGATAAACATCCACGTCAAAACCCTGCCAGAAAACAAAAAAAAAAGAAAAAAGAGAAGAATATAAACCAATACAATCCATGACTATGGGATTCCAGGAAAAGAGAATATGACAGGAGAAACCACTAATAATTTAAACACTAACATCGCTCTCTTTTAGCTGCCTGATGTACTTGTGGATTAGGTCCAGATCCGCCAGCTTGTTAGTGGGATATTGGCGGAAACCAGCGTAAGGATCCTTGCGCCGAGCGCGTTGCATTTTTCTGTAATTCCTCATAATTTTCTTATGCCTGTTATCCTTCTTGAGACCCAGCACCTTTCGGCTGCTGCCACTCTCACCAACTGCTTTGGGTGGCGCTTCCGCCCCTGATTTCTCAGGTTTCCTGCGGTCGTCGCTCGTAGAAGAGATCGCCTTCTCACGTTTCCCACTGCGCCTGGTCATCTTGTTCCAGAAGCCACAAACCCTAATTTCTTGTACCCAGAACTACAAGGTGGATTTTGATCGACTTTGATGTCAAAACAAGCGTTCCTAAATCCTACGGAGCGATTAGACCTATCGACTCGGACTCTATCCTCTTGGTTTTTATACACACTAAAATCGAGAGATACGGGTCTAAAATGTATTGGGTCAGCTATTACCGGTTCAACCCATTTACACCGCCAACCTGATCGCTAGAAAATTCTCACCAGCAAATCGCTCGATTTGTCCCTTACTTTTAAATTAAACTAGCAGAAGAACTATACTCATGTAATTTATGGATTTTTTGTTTTGTATAATGAATGCAACGAAGGTGGTATAATTATTAAATATATAAAATAAATAGGGTATTAAATCTTTAGGGCTAATAAATGGAACTGCGGTATAATGTCATAATAAAAAAGAATGAAGGCATAATAATGGATAAGGAGTTTCATTAAAAAGGATGCAAATTTCATGTGTGTGGAGATTATTTTTTGGATAGAGATACTTATTAAATCATTTGTTGGAATGGGGTATAAAAATTGGATTAGTTATTTTGTAATATATATTTGGATTTATTAATGTGCGTCTTTGGTTATGCACATATGTATATTGTGTGGGTCAGAATAATTGGATATTTGATTTTTATTTAATTTCTAAATTTTGTTTGAAAAAATTATAGGGAAGGACTAAATTTGCACCCTTATATACTAAATCCACATTCTATCGACTTATTAGACGTTCATGTCTTTAGTTTTTACACATTATATAAAGACTTTTTTTATAGTATTTAATTAGTTGTTTACATAACAGAAAGAAGAATAGTATTATGTTTTCTTGCGTCGGGATACTCAGTTCGTGCTGCCGCATCAATAACTATTAATTAGTAACTACTTAAAAAAAACTTTGGGTAAAAAAAGAGAATAAAAGAAGGGGAAAAAGGGAAAAGGATACTCTATTATAACAATAACATTATTATAAAAAAGCAACAACCTTGTAAAAAAGAAAATACTGCAGTTTAAAACTAAAAAAGAAATCGGCATGTGTTTTTGTTTCCCTAGAAATACTTAATTTCTACAGCATTATTTTTCATTAATTAGCTACTAATAAAGAAAAAGGAAAGAAACAACGTAACAACACAATTTTATATTCTACTATAACAATAGTATTATTATTGTAAAAAAATAGCAACTTTGGGAAAAAACATTGTAAGTGAAGAAAAGGGAAAAATTTGCCATTGGATTCAAATTCAAGTTACCTAATTTATGTGACTTTACCAGTAAGTACTAAATAAAATAATATTCACCTTAAAAAAAGAAGAAAGAAACAACCGGATGGAAAAAAAAAAAACAACTATCGTTAGTACAAAAAAAATGTAAGCATGGGATTTGAATTTAGGAAACTTAATTCCTGTAGCCTTATCAATAACTACTAATTAATAACAAATTTTAAAAAAAAATTGTTAGTTTTAAAAAAATCTTGGATAAAAAAGGGGAAAACAAAAAGAAGAAAGAAAGGGAAATGAAATTCTATTATAATAATAAAATTATTATAAAAAAAACAACAACCTTGGAAAAAAGAAAAGGCTGTCATTAAAAAAATCAGCATGCGTTGTTGTTTCCTTGAGAATACTTAATTTTTGCAGCGTTATTTATCATTAATTAACTACTAATAAAGAAAATATGAGGAAACAACATATCAGCACTATTCCATTATCTACTATAGTAATATTATTATTAGTATAAAGAAACAGAAACCCGAGGAAAATAACAAATTTTGTAAGTAAAAAAAGAAAGAAAAAAATTGGCATTGGATTCAAATTCAAGTTAGCTAATTTATGTGATATTACCAGTAAGTACTAAAAAAATAATAACCACTTAAAAAAAAGAAGAAAGAAACAATGTGATGGAAAGAAAACACCAAATATTGTTAGTACAAAAACAAAAACAAAAAAAAAAAGTAAGCATGGCATTTGAATTCTAGAGAGTTAATTCCAGCAGCCTTATCAATAACTACTAATTAATAACTATTTTTAAAAAATTGTTAGCTAAAAAAAAAAAAGTAGACATGGGATTTGAATTCAGAATGTTAATTCCTACGGTTGGCTAAAAGAAAGGGAAAAAAGAATGAAAAAGGAAAAGGAAATACAAAATTAGCAATCTTGGGGTAAAAATTAAGGATGATGTTAGAACCAAACCTTATATTATACTATTATAAAAATTATGGATGATGTTATCTAATAGTGTGATATATTGTTGAAACCAAAAACTTGATAATCCGAGAATCACACAATTCAGATGAAAATGATAGAACTCTCGTAGAAAACAAATACAACAAAGGAATAATCAAATAAGTAAAGAGACCAATCAATCTTTAAGCCATTATTGCTGCTCTCTATATATTCGTGTGAGCATGGTTTGTTTTACTTCTACTGTGAATGAGGAAGCCTTGGCCGCGGATGTGCAGGTGCTCGGAGCCTATTTCAAAAGATATATTTTGGATTTGTTGCCAGGCAGATTGTTTACCATTAAGATTCTAGCTCTTTTTCCTTTTGGTTTTACAATATTTTTTTTACCATTATTAAGTTCAAAAGGATTATATTTCTTTTTTCATTAGATTTTTTGGCAATTTTTTTAAATCTTTTTTGGATTGTTATTGGATCACATGTTTCTCGTGTATTCGTACATACACATAGTATGCATCAAGAGATAAGTGTTGGTAGCGGTATATCATAATACTTGCTTTCATATCATAGTTACTATTTCTGAATTAACATCAATTTGAATAACAAGTGTTCTTTAACCGAGCGAATTTAAAAAATTGAAGCAACTCAGGTTTTGTTAACCGCCTGTACCAGTGTGGATTTATCACCATCTTTGGTGCTTCTCTTTGTGCATCCTTCCATTGTCATGCTTGAAGGCTGGAAACAAAGGAAAAATGGAGGCTTTAGGCAGGGATCCTTTTTAAGAATTGAGAAAATAAAAGACCCACAAACGAAAGACAACTATAAATCACACTTAGCAACTATAATCTTCTCTATGTCACAATACAAGAGATTGAAAATTCCTGGTAAAAACTGATATCTTGCCAACTTCATAAAAATCATAAAGGCTTGCTGCCTAAAGAAAGGTCCTGTTTATCAAGTGATGCTAAAGCTAGCCAAAATCCTTTCAATTCAAAGAAATATGAAACAACATTAAAAAAATAAAATTAAAAAAAATCCAAGTTTAGAAACATTATCAGCTGACCAGCTCAGTTAGATTATAACAAAAGGTTTGATTAGATTCATGTCTAGGCATCTCAAAAAACTGATGGAATTTCAGAAAAAGGTTTAACAGTTAAAAGATTAAGAAGCATCCATTAATCAACCTAAAAGGTACATTAATACAATCCCATAATTTACTGCAAAAATAAATGTTAGAGCTCTCTTGGAGCACCTGAGAGTGACAAATATCAGCAAAAATCACTATTATGTTATCTTCAGAAAATGACATCAAAAATAGTCTCCAAATATCATAAATGTTCACCAGCATAGAAGTAGACTATTCTTGGATGAGTTATACTATAATATACATGTAAGACATAAGATGCAAGTATCTTAGGGAAGGAATTCCATTGACTTCTCAAGCATGCTACTCTTACTTATAGCAATCTGCTAATGCAAATATAGCTATTTTATTAGTTCCTTTTTTCTATACAGTTAGATAGAATCAATAATCAGAGACTCATGGCACTTAAAAACAGGAGTTGAAAACATATTTTTTAAGCTTGCACAGATTTTGCTTAATCAATTGCAAATTGCCAATGGCTTAAATGGATGTTCAAACATATAGGCATTAATGCAAGGCAAAAATTAAAACACTAAATAAATAGATCATTTACCATGGATTAATTCCCTTTACCTGCCTAAAACATCTCTTACAATTTTAGTCCATTCATTGCCAAATATCTTCCACGCCTGCATACGATTTCTAAATTTCAGATTATCACATCCAATAAGAAAAAGTTTGACCATCCGAACTAAAACAATCAGGTTGGTAAAATATGCTAGTCCTTGTAATTTAGCGAAAATTGACATAGGGTGAAAGCTATTGGTTAGCTTGTACATTTCAGATTCATGGAATATATAACTAAGTTTTACCAAGAGATTTACTGCATTTTGTACTACTAAACTGTACCACGAAAGCTAGCCAAAAGGTATGAAGAAGGGAAGGAAAAAGCTCCATTGACAATAAAAAACCTCTTGCATGGCAAGAAAGAAGAGAAGAAAAGCCATTTTGGTGAAAGGTGAGGTCTAAATAGCAAGATTTTCCTGCAATAACAAGTTGATTTTCAACTAAATTAATAACAAATATAGGGAGCACTAATTCTACTATAATTTATATTATATCCTCAAAATGTCATCCTATTAGATACACAAGCCAATCCCCTCAGAACAAAATTAGCAAAATTTTAATGAAGAACTCGTACTCTAGCAAAAGAAAAATGAAAGGCAAGATTTATGCAAAGACACGAGAAAAAGGCACTTAAAAACAATAATATAAAATAATGGAAATCCTTGATGACTTACAATGCTTTTGGTCATTTGTGGCTGAAAACCCAGCAACTAAGTACACACAGAACTATCAAAAACAGATCCAACATTTAATGGCATAGAGATGCAAAGCAAATAAAGAAAACAGGCATTCTCCTTAATGAATGTAAAAGGAAGCTCGTGAAAGAGCATCCAAGTAATGAATAACCAAGAAAATCACAATCAAAACTTGATTAAAGAATATAAAAAATCACAGTGCATCAAAGTAAACTTTTTATTAGTGAATGAAATAAAATATACCCTATCTTAGATTATTGCAGCAATGTTGAAGAGGAAAAAGCCCAACTATCTCCACCTGCAATCACAAAAAAAAAAAAAGGAAATTTTAGATGAGTAAAAGAGGAAGAAAACAATGAAGAGAAATTCAAATGTACAAAAAAAAGTTCACAATGCAAAAGCAGCAACTTTTGAACTATCGATTGAAGATAACGATCATGATGTTTGCAAAACATGACATAGAAACTATTAACCACCCAATTTCCAAATTGCAAGTATCTAGGTTCTTAACCTTCTCCATTGGAGAAATTTATCAAATAACACAGAATCATCCACAATATTAAAACAGTTCGGCAGATAAAACATTGAGAAATTTATTTGAATAATAAAAAATAATTGCACAGCATACAAATAGTTAGGTAAAAAATAGATTAAACAGATTGCACCAAATGCTCCAACATTGTAACTCATTAGATTCAGTTCCACCGCCCAGCTTAACATAAACTTTCACATTATCAACTAAATTTCAGAAACATCTAATTGAACTTGCTCCAATTAATAAAGTGAAAAATTCATGCTTTTAAAATTTCAATTGTCCTATTTCTTGTAACTACTACATCCAACCATCCAACCTAAGCAAAAATTTTCAGCTTTCAACGCCCAATTTGATGACATCAACAATTTGTAATAAAGGAGACGTCTCTTTATAATTATTGTAGAAACAGCTATGGAAATTTGATTAAAACTTAAATCATAAAGAGGGGGAATGGAATAAGTAGGAGGTGTAGTAGTAAAAGTAAAGATTAAAAAAATCCCAAGTTTTGGAGTTTCGAAAAAAAAATAAGGGGACAACTCAAGGGCCAAAAACAGCACTGATATAAAGACAAAGTATTACCTCTTCATGTGCTAATTCCACTGTCAAAGTTTATGAGCAGGAGGGCAGAAACACCGAAATAGATTATGTGGATCACTGGCATGTCATTAATATAACACATCATAAAAAATGAAAGATAAAGTAATAACAAGGATTTCTTTTTACTTCTAGCCAAAACAAATGGAAAACATTAGATGCAAAAATAAAAGAAACAAAATAAGGGTTTTCTAACCAAAAAAAATAAAAGAGAAATGTTCAATAACAATAAAATGGAACAACATAAGAAAATTTGAACAAAAACAACCGTATAACAGTCAGAAACTTGTGAATGGGAAACAGGAGATGAATCTGAGGAAGAAGATTACAATGGGGAATAGAGGTCTTCTAGAAGTGCAAAAAAATAAAAAAAAATTTAACACAAATCTGAGAGAAAAAAAAAGATTACCTTATGAGTCTTGCTGCCTGAGGAAGAGGAAGATGGCAAAGGAAAAGAGAAGGAGAGAGAATGACAAAAAAAGAGGAAGAAATAAAAAGAGAACCAGAAGAGACGGAGAGGGAAGTGAGAGATAAAAGCATATGGTTTCTAGCACACGGTTTCAGGTGGTTTGGAAACTAGAAGAGAACAAAACCGGCACAAGGAATCCAGGACCAACAAATCAACAATCACGGTGCATGTGATTTCCACACGAAGAAGGACGAAAGGTCAACAACAAATTTCACCACCCATTCCCATTTTATATATAAGTTCTTTATAGTACAACTAGGCTCGGTGCCCCGCGGGGTGCCCATTATTAACTGTCTTATACTAATGTAAGATTTATTTAATAATATAAATTTAGAGTATTTTATATGATAATGGAGTTGGAATAATAGATAGAAAAGTGATATATTGGATTGATTTATTTATAAATAGATATAGTAAAATTGATATGATTTGTATTGTGTTTTTTAAAATTAATATGATCTAAAGATTTGATGGATAATATTGGTTTCAAAATTTTTTTTTTAATTTTAATTTAGTGATAAGTAAATATTATTTAAATTAATGGAACATATATATTAATTTTTTAAAGTTCATAGGATGGAAAATTAGGTGGAGAATTACATTGAGAGTGTTATAATTTATTGTACTTTGGGCATAGGTAGTTTATGTATTTTAGGATGATGATATTTTCATAATTTGGATAGCTAGGATAAGAAAGTGTGCATTGTTGCAGTGGAAAAGTCTATGGAAATGATATAAAAGAATAGAAAGTTTGTTAAAAAATAAATGGATAAGAGATATTTTTTTTGCCAAATTTGATATAGTTTGGGTGTTGTGTGATGAGATAAATTAATAATTTGGAATAATTTGATACTATATCTTGGTAAATTATGTGTTTATTCATTAAGTAGGTTTTTTCGATAAGTAAAGATGATATTGATTTAGTTATGAACGAATGTGATTGAAATATATGGAAGCTGTATTTTTTTAATTAATAGAATCTGAATAGGTAAAGGATAATATTAATTTTGAGAGCTGAGAGATTTTATATTAATAGTTTAGTAATAAATAGATATTATTGAAAGTAAGGTGATGTGTATAATTTTTTTTATAAGAATAGAAATGATTGCACATGAAACTTATAGAGTCTAATCATTGTAATTTATAGTAGAATTTTTAAATATTTATTGTTTGATGTTTATTTTCTTTTGTAGAAAATTGTTTGATGTTTATGCGATTTATTATATGGTACTCAAAGTTGTAGTGAATTTTGTATTAATATATATATATATGTATACGATATATTTTGTAATATGTGTGCATATATATATGTGCGCGTATGTGTTTAGTATTTTATTTAGGAGATATGATGGTTTAATTTTTTATCGTTTATATTTTTTTGGTTTTGTTTGTTTGTTATATTTTTATTATTTATTTATTTATTTATATATGTGTATATATGTGTGTGTGTGTGTATGTATATTTAATATTTTATTTGAGTTTGTATGATTGTTTAATATTGTTTTAGCGTGTCTATCTTTTCTAGTTTTGTTTGTTTGTTATATTTGTGGTGCTCCTATTTGTCTTGTGATTCATGTGTCAATACGATAATTTTTTTTTTAGTTGCATCGTGTATATTTTTGCTATATATATAGGGGTGCGATTTTAAGTATTTGTGTATAAATTTCTGGCAGTTTGGTTATCTTTGTTATAGTTTTAGAGAAAAGTTTGTCTTTTTTATTTTGGTTTTCAGTGGTATATTTTTGAATTTTGAAAATTTTGAAATATTATCGAAGTAACATTTTTGAAATAGAGGGAAATTATCCTGTATTTTTTAAAACAATTAGTCGTATTAATGCAAGCAAATACAAAGCGGCACAATTGATTTATATTTATTAGATGCACACAAAATTTAATATTTGCATTACTTTTTTTGAAAATTAATAAGATTCCAAATTCTAAAGATAACACAATTTCGAAGAGTCCGTTATTTCATTGATATCGAAAATTAATAATGCTTGGTTGAATAGCATACATTAATAAATATCTATTTAATGATGAAGTAATTTATTTATTGATTAATCAATATCTTACTTTAAATCAATGAATAGCACATGGACTTATGTGCAAGGGAAATTTAAATTACAATTAGCTGACTCGAACAACACTCATTATCTGTTAATATGAAGTAGCATAGCGTAACACATAGAATTTGTATTGTTCTATATATATTAGATGCACACAGAATTTTTATCGATTCGCATATTTTTTTAGAAAATCAATATCTTTGTTAATATATATATTTTGGGGAAAGTTAATAAATATAAAAGAGCAGAGGGAATTATATTTTGAAGAAAGACACGTTAATACAAAGTTAGGAAATTGAGATTTTTGTGAGAATTATATTTTGAAAGGAAGTTATATGTTGAAGGAAGTTAATAAATGAAATCGATAAATTAATATTTTTGTTAATAAAGTCAGATAACAATTGCAGCAGTGGAAGATGCGCAAGAAAAAAAGGACAAAATCAATTGCAAAATAAGTTAGATAACAATTGCAGCAGTGGAAGATGCAAAAGAAACAAAAGGACAAAATTGGCCACAAAATTACAAAGAAACCAGGACAAGGGCACAATCGGAAGAAGGGAACAAAAGCAGAAATGAGGAAAAGCGCACTGGGAACCAAAGCCGTTGCATGGAGCCTGCCAAAGGACCAAAAAGGACGAAATGAGCCGCAAAATCACAGCGAAACCGGCACAATCAACTGTAGATGAAGCTTCCGCGCTTTATGTAGTTTAGCATACTGCAAAGTTAATTAACTTCACGTCTCTTAATTTAGATTTTCAATCACTTTTTTTTAGCCAAAATCAACTACCTAACTCACATGCGGTGATTTTTTTTTTCCACTAGAGGCAAAATGGTCACATTTTTTTGTAGTTAAACAAATTATCAAACCATATTTATTTTTATCACCAAACAAAATAAGATCTGACCTTTTTTAGACTAAAAAAAATAACCATATGCGGATTGCATGGTGAGTTCAAGTTAAAATAAAAAAGTAATCAAAAACTTATGTTGGAACTAAGTTTGGCTAACTTAAATTTTGTAAGAAACATAGAGTTAATGTTTTAAAAATAAAGGATCAAAAAATTCATTTCAAAGGTTTGAAACGATTTTTCCCGTTTTTTGTAAAGCAAATTGTGAATCTAAAGCATATGGATTTAATATTTTAAAAAAAAACTCCCAGAGTAGCGTATAGAAAAACATGTAAATAGGTGCTACTCGTGCAAAAATAGGTCATAGACTTGAAATTTGATACTGTCCGCCAATGCATGGAAGATATAGCAAATGACGGTTGAAATCCCAAATCATAATTCAACTGAAAATCTCAGCAATACCTTCCCCTTGTTTACGTTTTTAAATAGAATTAGCATACCAAAATTAATTTTTTTTCTCATACCGTTTCCTATTTAGTACCCTTTTTTCTTTCTTTTTTACTCGAATGCTATATTACATATATACCAAAATACGATATATATATATTTTTTTGAAAATTCCAGACATAAGGTTTCTTGTAGTTTGTTTATTTGTTAATTTTCACTATTAAAAACTTATAAGAAAATTTCTCTATCTTGACAAAATCTCATACAGTTGGGATGTTATTATCCATATAAGGATTAGTTTGGAAGTTTAGGGTAGAAGAGAAAAGAGAAAAAAAAATTTATTTCATAAAGAAAAGAAAGGATGAGAGTCTAATGTTACTTTGGGAGTTTTGTGAAAGAAAGGATCTAAATCCAGACCCGTCCATGTAAATCCACACCCTATACATTTGTTAGATATTGATGCCCTTAACTTTTAAAATTTAAATAAATACTTTTTATAATAATATCTTTTCTAAAGAAAAAAATTCACACCCAGATCTTCATGTAAGTTTTATGTACAAATCCCTTTTTCTTGTTGATTTCATTTCAAAATTGATCTTTATCTGAAGTTGCTTTAACGTTGTTCCTCTTTATTTTGTTAAACCTCTTTCTTTAAACACTAACACATAATCAAATGGTAAACATCAGTATGAAGTCAATATGAATGCATATTCCACCTTGACAATTGGTTAGATTTTGATATGTGGAATTGAAATATGTAAACATTGCTATTGACATCATTATTAGTAATTGAAAAATTTTTGAAAGCTAGATTAAATTTTAAATTTTATATTAATGTTCTCACACACTTGTAAAATATTTGAAAATATTCCCTATTACAATGCAAACATTTGTTTTCATCTTTTTTCTATGTAAATGTATGTTTCTTAAAACTATAAAAAAAATATCAAATATATCTACAACTTAAAAGCTAAGGCCATTTTGGTCCAATAGATACATAGGGAGTGGATTTAGGATGAAGGGTTGTGGATTTAGCACCAACGTTGATATGATTTTGGACAAAAAAATCAACAAAATTTTGTTGAATAGCTTTGGAATGACAAACTGGTTACTGTAAGAAAGATTGATAAGTTTTCCAGCAAGTTTCCTTCGTTTTCAGCCCGAATTTGGATGGAACTTTATTTTTTTTTTTTCCCAAAACTATAGCACAAGTTTCATCTTTTCCAAATTTATTACTAGTATCCTCTATTTTCTGCCTTACTTAAAACTCACAGACAAGAAAAATGTTAGCTTTGCGTTCCATGTGCTTCTCTCTCTACCCCCCAAAATCTGAACTCCTAAACCAAGCCTAGGCTTCGATCCAAAGTTGAAAATCTCAAAAATGATAGGAAATTAGTAAGATAGGTATATTGATAATCAAAAAGAAAAACTACAAAGATTTTTTAATGTATTTTTTATTTTCTTTTCTAGTAGTAGGAGAATAACAAGACTTAAGAAGTTGATGGTTACGGAAATTTGAACCTAAAACTTTCGAAACTTGAGATCTCAAGACTCCAAAATAAATTGGATGATTTCTTCATCTTTGGCAACTTTTTTGATTTTAGTGATGATAACAATAACCTTACAAGTAGTAGTAGTGTTTTCAAATACTCAAATACAGACTGAATTGACCCGATTCGGGCACTGGTCCAATTATTATATATTAAAACCCAAAAATGGTAAAAAGTTGGTCAAAGCCGGTCAAGACCGCTGAACCGGACAAAAAAAAACCACTTGAATCGGTTCAGTCAGACTTTTTAGTTTTAAGTGGGGCCCATTGGATTTTTTTTTTTTTTAAAAAAAAAAAATTTTATTTGGAATTCTGATTTTTGCTGTCTGTTGGGCTGTGAAAGCCCCAAAAGTATCAGGAAGCAACCCACTTTACGACTGATATACTTGCACAACCATGGCATCAAATATGGGGCTAAATAAATAAAAGAATATATAAAGTCCACGTTAACGAAGTATGGCTTCCATCCTTCAGTCCATTGCTGCAAATTGCTCAAGGGGGGGTGAAGCTCTCTCTGCCCGTAAGTTGGAGAACAAAATGCTATTTTTTAATCAGATAAAAAGCACAAAATTTGGCTCACAGAATCTACATACATGGGGCCTTTTGCCTCAGCTCTAAAATAGCTTCTGAGTTTCAGATACCTCCTTCTAAAATCCCCTAAGCCTCCTGCTAAACCTGACCCTCCGGAATTCAGGGTCTACAGGATATGCGAATCCAACCATAACACTCTTGGCTACTTTGGCGAAACCTCTGAAGCCAAAACGTGGGCCATGAGAGTTTTTAATCAGAAAGCAATCACGTCCCTTGCTGTCTATCCCGTGACCGACTATCAACACACAGTGGTATGACTATGGAGCTCGCTCAAATTTAAGCCTCAGCCCCCTGTAGTAGGTGCCCTTCAAAAAACAAAAAGAAAAGAAAAGTGAGTTACACGACGTCGTACATGTTAAAGATTTACAACATTTTTGAGCACATTTAACTTACAGGACCCCTGAACTTTTTGAAGTATTTTGGTGCCCTCATAATCCCCACAATGGGTTGACGTCGGAGAGCTCTGATGGCCTTTAATGGCTTCCTCCTAGAAATTGGAACATAGGATTTGATAAACATCTTCCGGCCCTGTTTCAAGAATAATTCTCAAGCTAAATAAATAAATGAATGTCAAAAGTCAAGACAAATCAGTCCATCTTCATAATTTTGCAGCTCATACTTGCCTACAAAGAGTGGATTACCCAGAAAAAAGCATGACTACCCGATTATAAGGTGCTGAATGAAACTTCTATTCACACATGTGAGGGGGAAGAAAGAACACAATTAACTCTCAAAATCATCCAGCTAAGAGATGACACCGTACATGTAGACTGAATAGACACTTTCTTCGATTAAGGAGGACTTGCACCAATTAACTAAGGAGGACTACAAATGACAAGTAAAATACCTGCATGTCCATATAGGAAGATATGCAGTCAATTGTTTCACTCTATAATTAGTTATTCACAATGGAAAACAGCACATATGGCCATTCGAAATATATTAACAAAAAAAAAAAAAAAAGAAGCCCAAACAAGTTGCAATTTGCAATAGGCAACGAACAAATTTAAATTAGCAGATCCAACCCGGTTCATGGCTTCCGGCGGAATGGTACGAACTTGTGCCTTCACTCCGGTGTAGGGATACACATTTTCTTCGAACACCCCGAACACTTCCATCATCGTAAAAGCGTCATCAATAGTTGTTGGTGGAAGCACTGCTCCCTCGTTGACGGGAATATCAGCCCTGTCACCAATTCTATCGTGTAGGTGATCGACAAATTCTTGCGCGGATAAAGTAACCGACTCTCCACCGTTGATGACATGGAGAGCGGAAGTGGCATCAGTAGTCCCAAAGGCAGCGCAAGCTCCTGAAAAACCCCAAAGAAAAAAAAAACACATTAAAAGACTCGTAACATTTTTAGGATACTTTAATTTTAGTATAATTAGTATTGTAATAAAAATATACCAATGTTTCCTTGATTCCTAACTGGGCGGATCGCGTTTGGTAGAATGGTCAACCAGTTCTCTTCAAAGCCTTGAAGATAATTCAAGAACTCTTCGTCGAGTAGATTCTCCATATAACTGCAATCCTCAATCGAAGCCTGTACATCAGAAGTTACAGATTTGGACTCTTAACTCTGAGAAGGATATTTGACAATTAGACACGTCAACCATTTCATTTGGTCTCAAAGATTGCACAGGCTTACTTTTTGCATTATCTAAGTGTAAAGGCAGACCTTTGATTTTGTTAAACAGAAAACTTTAGGTAGGCTGGAAGGGTGGAAAGAGAAGCTTTTGAGCCAGGCTGGGAAGGAGGTGCTGCTCAAGTCAGTTATTATGGCATTACCTATCTATGTAATGTCATGTTGTATACTTCCAAAGGACTTGTGTAGGCAAATTAGCTCTGGGATGGCAAGGTTTTGGTGGGGTGAAAAGGAAAAGAAGCACAGAATCCACTGGTTGAGCTGGGGAAGGTTGGCTGATGGGAAGGAAGAAGGAGGTCTAGGACTTAGGGAGTTGCATGAGTTTAATTTGGCTTTGCTGGCAAAACAACTCTGGAGGATTTTAACTAGGCCCAACTTGCTGATGAGTAAGGTTATGAGAGCAAGATACTTTAAGGGAATTTCAATATGGGAAATGAAGAGTCAGAGTACGGATTCTTGGTATTGGAGGAGTTTACTGAAAGCAAGGGAGTTACTGGAGGAGGGAATAAAGAAAAGGGTTGGGGATGGAAAATCAATTGATATTTGGAAAGATAGGTGGTTGCCAAATTCTGGGAATGGGAAAGTAAAAACTCAAAGGGCTGAAGGGGTGGCTGTCCAGTGGGTGAGTGAGCTCATTAAAGATGGGAAGTGGGACAGGGAGCTAATTGCAGAAGTTTTTGAAGAAAATGAAGGGAAGGATATAGTGAGGATACCTCTGAGTGTATGTAGTATGAAAGATAGGATATATTGGAGTAAGTCTAGTACGGGTGAATATACAGTAAAGTCAGGTTATAGGTTGGCAAAATGCATGTGGAAGGAAGTGGCTGGTGACAGGAGCATTGCTGAGTCAAGCAGCAGTAGGAAGTGTTCAGCTCAGAGCTGGAGTTTTTCTGTTGAAGCATTTCATCTGGAAATGTTTACAAAATATCCTGCCAGTGAATGCAAGTATAAGGGCAAGGTGTGCTAAGGGGGATCATATGTGCAGCTGTTGTGGGGAGCATCCAGAGACTGTTGAACATCTGCTGTTTTTCTGTGATCATGCGAAGGCGATTTGGGAGATGGCACCAGTAAGCTGGGAGGGGTTGGTAATTCACAGAAATAAGTTCTGGCACTGGTGGGAGGAATTGAAAGATGCAGTGTATAAGGAGCAGGGACAGGAGCGGATTGCAGTGACAATAAATCTGTTATGGCAGATATGGAAGTCTAGGAATGCAAGGCAGTTTGAAGCTAAGGCTAGGGACCCTATGACAGTTGTCCAAAAAGCTGTTGGGGAATGGAGGGAGTATCAGGATGCTCAGGTGAAGAAGGGGGAACCAGTTAGTGGTAATAGGGTGGGGAAGGAGGAGTTGAGTGAATGGAAAGAACCTAGGGAGGCTTGGGTCAAGATAAATTCAGATGCTGCTGTCCATCAGAATAAGGATAAAGCAGGTTGGGGATTGGTTGCGAGGTATTGGCAGAAGGAGCTGGTGGGAGTTTGGGCAGTGCCAGGCGTAAGTTGTTCGAATCCAAAAGTGGAGGAGGCTTTGGCTCTAAGAGCAGCCATGCTAGTGGCCAAATGTCAAGGGTGGAGAAGGGTAGAGTTTGAGACAGACTGTAAGCAAGTTATTGACAGGATAAATAGTGGTGAAAATGATGTAGAAATTGCAACTGTGCTCTCAGACATAGAAAAGCTGAAGCTCAGTTTTTATGAATGTTGTTTTTCCTTCACTAGAAGGAGAAGCAACTCTGTTAGTCATCAAGTAGCTAAATTTGCTACAGAAACTGCTGAATGGAAGTCTGACTTCCCAGTTTGGTTGCTTGAGTTGGTGCAAGCAGATTGTAGGGGCAGTTGCCCCAAAAATTGTAAGTTGAGATAGTCTATAAATGAAATGTTGCCGTTTTGATAAAAAAAAAAAAAAAAGTGTTCGTGAACCTTGTCTAGTTTTGCTCTAAGGTCCAGTATCAGCCCTTCCGTTTCATCAAGCTGTAACTCAAGCTCCAGAATCCTCCTTTGCTGATTCGACTAGACCCTTATACAAATCTTTTTAACGTTAAACTTATTCAAAATCATAAACTTCTCCTACATCGATTAGACCCTTGAAATATATCTATTTCCATGATTTAATTTTTCATTTTTTTTTATAGTTTCTCTGCCATTGATTCTGATGACTCTTTCTTGCCTTCTTCGTATCTGCTTCACTCTTTTGTGTCTCATGGTAAAGCCTAATTCTTTGTCATGCTATTTTTAGTTTTTTTCTACCATTTTCCTAAAATAATTTTCTGTATCTATCCTGAGTTCCACGTTCATTTGTATCCTAAATATACAGGCAAGCAAAGCAAGTTATGAACACCAGAACATGGTATCTAGAATTGAAGCCATAAATGCAGCCAAAAAAAAAAATGTCCGCCTATAAAATTCCTGGGCTCTGACTATTTTAGGAAGTTTTGACGGTTTTCTGGCAGAATCCCTAAAATCCATGATGTAAACATCTTAAAAAGGGCAAAAATCTTCAACAAGCAGAGGACTTTAGATGGGACGAACAAGAGAAATACAAGATTAAGAATCAGATTTTTCTTCTAAAAATGCAAGCCCAGGTCTTAAGAATGAACAACAAAGAAACATTAATACAGTATTATACAGTACGTGGCGCTACACTAGTATCACATTGTGGCTCTGTGCTAATGCATACGCAGAGAAAAGAATTTACCGTCAAGCAAGCGAACGAAGATGAACTATCAAAAATGGCAACGCTTCCTCTATTCTGCGATAAAAGGAAAGAAATTTATGAAAGGGGGAGTAAGCAAAGCTGCGGTTTTTGTCGAATCATTTCAGCATTGTTTCCGCAACTAAAGCATGCTAGTAGACTTGGTGTCTCTATTGAGAACAGAGAGTAAGAAATTTGAAAACAGAGAGGCTTTTTTTATCTGGGATTATATAAAGATTTTTTCCTGTTTTCTTGCAAAAATTTTGATGACTTTATTTACAAGAAAGGCGAAAAGGGAAGGAAGGAAGGGACGTTAGAGTTACTACCTGGTGAGAGTGTGCTCTGGCGTGGTTTGCTGTTAGTCTGTTAGCAGCACCTCTGCCCCTTACCCCCGACTGTCATGCTATGGAATACATTTTTGTTTTTTGGTCATTTCCTTGGGTGTTGTTTCTGGATAGGATTTTTTACAGCAGGTTAAAGGGAATGCTTGGCTGTTGGTACAACTTACCTGCAGACGAGAGAGTGGAGTGGCGAAAAGTCGAAAACTGAAAAAGCTGAGCCAAGGTTCCAGCTGTGCAGGTTTGTTGTTGGAGCGGTGAATTGTGAATACTGATCAGAAGAAAGTGGAGTGGAGAGCACTGATGGATATGATATGATGTGTGTTTAATGTTGTGAAGAAGATTTTGAGTTTGTTAATGCAAACTGGGTAGTGTTATTGCAAAGGACCTGAGGTAGTTATATTAATTCAAGGGGCGGTTTGGTGACATTTCCAGTTACATATATATATGCTATGGAAGAAAATTTCTGGTAAAGATTGGGGAATTAAATTGAGGATTTACAGGTTGAGGTATTAAAGAATTTGAGTTCAAATTTCACCTGTTGGTTTTTATCTCTCACTATTTGTGAATTAGCACTTTCTTCCGTAGTGATCTTTGCTTTCCACTGATAGAATTTAAAATTTCCGCAGCTTGGATTGGGGGTCTTCTTCTTCTTTTTTTTTTTTCCCACTTCAATCCATGGTTTCTTTTCTTGACCCTACGGTGCTCCATGATTCTACTTGAGGCACTTCTCTTTGCTTTATTTTTCCTTTGTTTCTTTTCTCTTTTTTATTTTTAAATAATGCTACAAAAATTTGCAATCAATTACTTTTTTTGCATGGAATTAGGCATGGCCACGGTTCCACTTGGAACCGGGAACCGGACCGGAACCGAACCGTTTGGAACCGGACCAGAACCGGAACCAGAACCGTGGAACCAGAACCGTAGTAGAACCATGGATAAAGGTTCCGGTTCTGGTTCTCTAAAAAATAGAACCAGAACCAGAACCGCCGGTTCCAGAACCGTTAAAAAATTTAAAAATAATTAATATAAAAAATAATAAAAGTAGAGACATCATGATGACCTTGGTCATCATGATGCCACCACAATTTTTGCTCTCAATTTTTGCTCTTGGGGCTCCTCCTGACTTGCACAAAGGTCCTCAGGCTCTCAACGGAAGAAAGAAACAAAGCAAAGGATAGAAAAAAAACAAGAAAGGTGGCTGCCTGCTAAATTTGACAAATTGGCAAGTTTACAACGTTACAATTCAACGTTGTAATTTTGTCCAAACTTTCAATACAACGTTACAAATTTGAAACGTTACAATACAACGTTCCAAATTTTTAATTTCATTTTGTCCTATAAATAAGACTTGAAATTTTATTTTCTACTACACCAAAATCAATCTTCTCTTTTCCATCTCTAAACTACTCTCAATTTCTTCATCTATTTCCTAATTTTTTCACTTTTATTCTATTTTGCTCCTGTTCACTTATTTATATATTTTACTAATTACTTAATTCTTTTTATTCATCTAATATCTATCATTATAATTTGTAAGTATTAAATTATTACTTACAATTTTTTTTTGCTTATTTGCTATCAAATGGCAAGTTTTGATGGCAGTAGCTCATCTTCAAAATCAAGTAAGCAAAATATTCCTTCAAATGAAGTCTTCAACTTTGATGATTGTCCAACTCAAGAAAGTCAGCATATGACAACCATCCTTGAAGATCAAACAATTGAAGCCGAGGAAAGAAGTGGAAGCAAAACTCCTAAATCTGAAATCTTCACAAAGCACTTCACCAAAGAAATTGACGTCAATGGCAAAAGTCAAGCAAAGTGCAATTATTGTCCAAAAAGTTATCAATACAAAATGGGAGATGGCTATGGAAAGTATCACAAGCATTTGAGAAAGTTTCATCCTCAAGAATTGGGCATCGACAACAAACAAACACAAATTACCGGGTTTGCTACTTCTAACCTTTCTCTATTTCGATTTAGTGAAGAAAGACATAGGAATGAATTAGCAAAAATGATAGCTATTGAACATTTATCTTTTAGTTTTGGAGAAAAGTTGGGTTTTAAGAAATATTGTCAAAATTCTTTAAATCCTCAATTTAAAAATGTTCCTAGAACCACTCTTAGACGAACACTTAAAAATATTTATAATCAAGGAAAAAAAGAGTTAATTCAATTATTCTCAAATTTAGATAGTCGTGTATCTATATGTTCCGATATTTGGAGTGACCATTGGCAAGTACATTCTTATATGGCCATAACTTGTCATTGGATTGATAATGAGTGGAATATACAAAAAAGAGTGCTAGCTTTTCGTATTTTTGATGAATCTCACAATGCTCTAAACATTTTTAAAATGATTAGTATTATTTTGGGAGAATATGGTCTATGTAAAAAAGTTTTTTCAATTGGTTTTGATAATGCATCCGCAAATACCGCTTCTATTGGAGAGTTGCGAGATCTTTGCCAACCTGGATTAGGTGGTAAATTTTTTCATATTAGATGTGCATGCCATATTTTAAATTTAGCCGTACAAGATGGTTTACGAGCACTTGAAAATCATATAAAACCTATTAGAAAAGCAATTTCTTATTTATGGGCACACCCTAAATTAATGAAAAAGTGGAGCACTTTTTGTAAAGTCAATGGAAAAAATCCAAAAAGATTTTCAAGAGATGTTCCTACTCGTTGGAATTCAACATTTGAATTACTCAAAGAATCACACAATTATAGTGAATTATTAATTGCATTCTTTGCAACTAACATGACCGAAATATTGTTGCATGAAAATAATTGGATTGTTTGTAATAAAATTTTAGAAATTTTATCAGTTTTTAATGATGCTACTTATACTTTGTCTGGTGTATATTATCCTACTACTCATTTATTCCTTACCGAGGCGTGTAATATTGTTGGTTGTCTAAATGAAGCTAAAAATGATGATTTTCTGAAGCAACCTATTAGGGAAATGTTTAGGAAATGGACTAACTATTATGAACATATTCCACATATATATTTAGTTGCTTCTGTTTTTGATCCTCGTGTTAGATTAGATGGTTTGCATGAGTATTTGTCATCATATTATGAACAAATATATAGTAGCGAAAATTATGCCCACGATGTTAGTAAAAAAGTGTTTGAAGTTAAAGAGCTTATTTGTTCTTTATATAATGAATTTTTTATTACTTATGGTGATCGATTTCCTACTAGTATTTTGGAACCCTCTAGTAACACTGATAATAGTCTTAAAAGGGCTGTCAAGATTGGTGATAGAATACTTCTTGAAAGGTCAAAACGACAAAAGGGTTCACCTAATACTAATACGGAACTCGAATCATATCTAACTACCAAGTTTGAGCATGATGATAGCAGCTTAACTAAACAGTTTAAAGTCCTTGACTGGTGGAAGCGAAAATCAGAGAATTATCCTATCCTCTCCCTTATTGCTAAGCAAATTTTAGCAACTCCAGCATCAACAGTAGCAGTGGAACAAGCTTTTAGTGCCGGTGGAAGCATTTTGGATGAGACAAGATCGAGATTAAGCCCAGAATCACTAGAAATTCAAGCATGCGTGGATGATTGGACTAGATCAGAATATAGACAACAAGAAATGGAAAAAAATGAAGAAGAAGAATTCAATTATACAACTGATTCTAGTGCCGTCGCAAGCAATGAAGATGATTAAATAATTAATGTTTGTTTTGATATTTCATCTCAATTTCAATGAAAAAATCAAATATTTTCTTTTCCATTTAAAATGATTACCATTTGATAGTGTAATGTAATTTGACAATGTAATGTACTTTTCATAAAATTTGTATTATCTATTTATTATTTCGTACTTTGTAGAATAATAATAAAATTAAAATATAATATTTATTTTGTATTTTTTTTTACATTTTATTTAAAATTTTAAATATATTGTTATATTTGTATTAAAATTGGTAAGGATAAGAAATTAAATAAAATTGCATATAACCATACGGAACCGGAACCGGAACCGGAACCAGAACCATAAGGAATCGAAATCAGAACTATGCGGTTCTGGTTCTACCTCTTTGAAGAACCAGAACCGGCGGTTCTGGAACCAGAACCGTTGGTTCTGGAACCGTGGCCATGCCTACATGGAATCACAGTGACCCTAATGTTAAAAAGATGCTGCTTAGTATTTTGTGCAAGTTACATAATTTGGTTGATTTGGTACCATTTAGCATTAATTTTTTTTTATTCTTAATTAGAAATAGTAAAAAGCAACATGTATCGGTGTGGCAAATTGGAAAAGAAAAACCAAAATATGAACTTTTTTAATAAGTAAATCAGCAAATTCTTTATACTCCTCAAATAAATATGGCAAAAAAAAACCTTTCTTCAACTAGTTAATGTGATAAACCCCTCGTCTCTGTTCCATCTCTCGCCACTCTCAATTTTCCAGCCATTTCTCCAGAAGCAACTGAACACAATCTCATCCCACCTGTATATTTTCTGCAGCTCCAAAATCCATCCTCAAAACTCTCACAAGACTCAATTTTAACGGCCTTAAACCCCTTAAAACCCCTTTCAAATTCACTTTCCATTCACCCCAAACAACCAGAAAGCAGCAGCCCACAAGACTAATTGCTGTTGCTGAAGAAGAAACTGAAACAGCCTCAGTTGCCACAGCTGCAGACCTTTCTTCTGAGGCTGCAAGAAGGCTTTATGTTGGGAATATTCCTCGGACTGTCACCAATGACGAGCATGAAAAGATTCTTGAAGAACATGGTGGTGTTGAGAATGCTGAGGTACTTCAGGAATTCAAGAATTTAAGTTTTTACAAATCAATTTCCATCGTGGCTGAATTAAGCTTTGTCGAGATTTAAGGTGTTTATTAGCAGTTGGTTATGTTGGAAAATGTAGCTTTAATTCTGCGATGGTGGAAGAAATGGGTCTTATATGATCTAAAATAGCAAATTATGGGTCTTTCGTTGGTTCAATAATGGTGGGATTTGAACTGTTTGTGGTTTAATTTTGTTGTATTGTAGGTTTAGTTCTGAGCTGAAGAGAGAAATTTGTAGGGGCCAAGGAAGTTGTTATGCATGCTAGTTGATTCGGTGATTGGTTTTATTTCCACCATTGTTGTCAATTTTATTCATAATTAAATAAATATATTCTTTCAAAATAATTATTTGCGGAAATTGATTTTTCTGTTTGCTTCAAGCATGGCACTCTTCTTTACCTCCACCAACTCTTTCGAAGCTTAAAATTGCATTTTCTTAGTGAATCAATACCAAATGCGAAAATTTAAAAACGGCCACAAAACTAGTTGTGGCTCTTCTTCTCCTTCAAATCAATCCTTTCACAAAATTTTGAACCATAAACCTGCCTTAACTTATTGCTCCAGTCAAGATGTCCTGTATTTCCTCAACCCCTAAATTGTGCGTATGGTCCCCAAACCATACAGTATCTTTTCCGTTGTGATCATATACACAATCCGATGCTCTAGATATTCCTGGCATTTTATCAATTTCAAGGCCGAGAAGAAAACAGGGAATTTAGGACCCAGACTATCCCACAAGATTTCAGGACAAACAAAATTGATATTGAATTAGTGCTACTGTATATCTCTGGGAAATAGTCCAACATCTTTGAGCGCAGCAAGAGATTTTACATGCTTCAAAGCATCCTGCAATAATAGATGTTGTGGTAGTTCTACTATCCCATAGGTCTTGTTTGAGTTTTGGTTTCTCTCTGTAAACTCTTCAGAATGCATTGGATCTATATTAGCCTAAGATGCCCCACCAGGAAGCCTACACATCAAGACTTGTGAGGTTTATGGTCCGTAAGGTCAACAAGAAAGTTGTAGAATTTGCAGTCACATGTTTTTAGGTGCAATAGAGTTTGATAAGAAGCTACTGAATTAATTCCATACTTTTCCCCCTATTGACAGGTGATGTATGACAAGTGGTTTGGAAGGAGCCGGCAATTTGCATTTGTGACAATGAAGACTGTTGAGGATGCAAATGCAGCTCTTGAAAAGCTAAATGAAACAGTAAGATTTGCTTTTAGATGTTATCTATGCAAGTATAATAAGTTTTTCGAGTTCCAAAATTCCAAGCACGTTAATTCCTATGAATGTTCTGTTAATTAGATTATACTCATTTGATATTCTTTACTCTGCAGGAGACTGGTGGGCCTAAAATCAAAGTAAATATTACTGAAAAGCCGTTGCAAACTTTGGATTTATCTCTTCTTCAAGCCGAAGAGTCCCAGTTCATTGACAGTCCACACAAAGTTTATGTGGGTAATCTTGCAAAGGATGTAACCACAGATAAATTAAAAAACTTATTTGCTGAGAAGGGTAAGGTACTTAGTGCTAAAGTATCACAGGTTCCAGGGACTTCTAAGTCCAGTGGTTATGGATTTGTTACATTCTCTTCAGAAGAGGAAGTTGGAAGCCGCCATTTCATCTTCCATTCTCTTCAGAAGAGGAAGTAGAAGTCGCCATTTCATCTCTGAATAATGAGGTAAACTATTTGTCTTAGTTAAGAGCATATGGATCTTGGGATATGGTCAGAATTCCACCATTTCACCCTAATAAGTAGAACTATTCCTAGATGTAATGCACTAATCTGAAATGGTATCACACTTTCATCCAGTTCTTTCATTAGATTTTTGTTAGTGTCCTTAGACCTATACTGTGTCAATTACATTACTATGTCACCCATTGTGTCATTAGCACTGTGCTATTGAACTGGACTAGCCCACTCCCTCGTCTTTCCAGTAGTGAACCACAAATGTTTTGATAGCACTGGAATTTTGTGTTACAGACATGCCATGCCTCTTATCTTCTTATAAAAAATATGGATATTCTGTTTTAGTGACTAATTAAGGTGATTCTTTAAGTAACACTGCAGCACATGAGTAATTTCCTGAAGCATCATGTTTGTGCTTCATGCGTAATCCTTCTCTTTGCATCTTTTGGCTCGTCTTTTGTTTAACATGCACATGATATAGTATAACAGATTTCGTGTTTATAGGACCATGTGAAGCTGTTGACTTAATTCGTGGATGACTTAACACCTAGAAGTAGAAGACAGTAAGGAATGAAACTAGCCATCAGTCCAGTGCTGTTGGCTACAGTATTGGGGCTCAAGCCCATGGAGAAAGAGTAGGGACTTGATAGCTCATTGACGTAGATGATGGTAATTTTTGTTGGTAAGTTGATGAGAATTTCTTTTGTTGTTGCAGTTCTCATCCTTCGGTTGCAGAGGATAATACAGTAGTGATTGCAGATCCTTCTCCCAGCAACCAGGGAGGATTGAATGAAAAACCTGGCAGAGATAGTACCATTCAGGAGCACCCAGATATTGAAATCATGCGTGATGCTGTACATGACTTTCCAATGGAAGACGCTCCTATATGGCCAGATCAAGGCTATGACGTGGAACCTGACAGAGTGTTGGAGGAGCAGATCATGAAACATATTGAAGCCAGCAGTCCAGTTGTTGAGGAAATATTGGTTTCTGGAGATCCTTCTATACCATTACCTCAAGCTGAAGAACCACAATCTGTTGCTTCAGAGAAGGCCCATGAAAATTTTAATCTAGGCATTCCTTTTGGTGAGTGCACCCTTTAGATAACACATTTAATTTACAGAATAGGACGTAATGTTCAATTCAGCCTATTTAATGCACGTTCTTTTTTTTATAGGGTATGCATCACCTGGACTAGCAATTGGATCAACACCTCCAGTTGAGCAGCCAAGAGCTAAGCAGAGACAAAAGGAGGGGATTTTTATGACGAACAAACTGTACTGACTAACAAGTATGGTTGATCTTTTTACCCACAGGGTACTTATGTAGTCTGCTACTGTTTTTCACATATAGCATGGTGACATTTCAGGTCTTAAGACTCCAGTGATTTGCTAAGGTAAAAAAAGGAATTTTCATTCTTCTAATTTGGACATGTGGAAGTCACAGACGAGATTGAAAAAGGACACAATCTTTCTTGAGCCTTTAATAACTGGTAATCCATTTGGAAAATGTTTTTCCTTCAACCATTAATTCCTGTGTGCAAGTAAATTAATTGAAAATTGAAATTTGTAGGATTATCTGCCAACCTGGTTAGCATTTACAAGAAAGAAGTTATTTCTTCGAAATGTCATTTAGTTGGCTCAGGGGAACCTCATCTCCAAACTAGAGAGCACAAACACTGACACCTGGAGGTGACAACGAAATGGAAATTGAAAATCTTCGCAACTATGAAGGTCCTTCCGGTGGCAATGTGATGTTCAATATCTTGCCTTCCCCTAATAGATTTGTTTCTTCTCTTATGACGTCCATGGCTTCTCCAATCAAAAGAGACGAATCCACTCCGGCCTCTACAAATTTTGGTTCAGAGCAGGATTGGTTAGAAACACCTATTGGCACTGATGTACTGACTACCCCAGATTTAGCAGCATCTAGTGAACTCTTTGGATCTGATGTGGAAACTCCAGCAACTCTTTTAGGCAGGGCGCTAGAAGTGGAGAATACTGTTCTTTCTGACATCCATGAGATGTTAAATTCTGGCAGGGTATGCTATCTACCCATTCATCTTCGTGATTGTAAATTTTTATTGTAACATTCCTCCCATTTTTTGATTGAGTGGCATTGCAAGTCTTTTTATATTCCATACCTTGTGTCCAGTTATTCTCAAATGTGGTTGTGTTTTTCCCTTTTTCATCTTTCCTTATTTATGATATCACTTCCACATTTCATTTCTCATGTTGTTAGCTTCTATTGTGAATATTCCATGCCAACCAAACATGATAGTATCATGTTCAAAGTTTGAAACTGATACTACTACTAGAGAAAATGGGTAGTGTAGCTTTGATTGTTTGCAAAATCAGCTATGCATATTGCTGAGGTTTCATCTAACTGGCCTTGTACACTCATTGCAGGACTTGAGCTTCCTAGAACAAGATGAAAAAATTACGTGGTGGTAAGCTGAAAATTTTCCCTCTTCTTGTGAACTTGTGATGCTAGTATCTAGTAGTTTTAAGAATCGTGTTATTTGCACTGCTATTCCTTCTGGAAACCTTTTTTTTTTCATTGATATTTTCCTTGTGGTCATTTGTACATTGCTTTGAAGGTGACTTCGAAACTCATAAAGGAAAATTTTCTGAGCTAATTGTGCCTGGCTGACGTTCATCCACAGGTAACAAATTTGGCAATCCTTCTGACTATAGGGTTAATGTAGAATTATTCAGATGCATCCTTGTAAGTTCAATTTCTTCCTCATCATTTTTTTTCTTTTTTTTCCCTTTTAATTATAAATTTTGGCTGTTCAGAGCCAGTTGATTATATTCACTATGCTTCGAATTATTTTACTAAAGTTCATTTTCATGGGTTTGAATACTTAAAATTGTGATACAAGGTTTCAAACTGCATGAGGTGAACAAATTGAATGAATTTTAAAATTCAACCAGATTAGCTTTTTTATTGCAATATTGAAGTAAAATCATTTGACTCTTCTATGTTAGAATTAGAATGATGGTTAAGGATGATCGGAGTACCTTTTATGATGTGTTGATTTTGGTGCATCAGTATACAGTTGTGTTTCATGAAGGCCTATGACTATTAGTGGATTCGGATTTAGGTCAGAGGCACACAGGAAGAACCTTTTTCTTTTCTACTCTCCACTCTTTTTTGTCTACTGTTGATGATATTGCATATTGACCATTTCTTTGCGCTGTACCAACATTTGAAAATTTAAGTTTACTGGTTACGATTTAATTGGTGCAACTAATGTTCCTTAATTTGCAGTAAACAATTGGACACCACTGCTGTATAACGTTTCAGTCCAGGTCATTAACTGTGCTCCCACCCATCCTCCCTCCTAGCAAGAAAAGATACGAAAAAGAGAAGCAATGAGTACACTGGTTGCTGCCAACATCATTTTAGACTTAAAATAGGTAGGCATCAGTAATTGTAAACAATCGCCACCTTGTTTCTCCAGTTTGTTTTCTATGTCATTCCGTGCATAAATTGAATAAACTCTCTGTAGATTTGTCCTGAAATTTTGTGGTTGTCTGAGTGTATACATGCACCTGTCTGATGTGGTCGGTGAATCTAGTTCCAAGTTTCAATGCTATGTAGAGTTGAAGAAGCAAGTCCAGCATTATTAGGATTATTAAATTTTCATCAGAATTTGTCATAATCTTTAAACTCATCCAGTAAGTAAAGTCCTTGTCCTTTTGTAAAGTCGTTGCCTTCTAGAAACTAAGATAGGGAAGTTCAGATGGCTGAGGTTTTCTCAATCGTGATTGCTGAACAGTCTTGAACTGACAGTACAACTTCTGCCAATTTTGCATTCTATCCTTCCACCATCTTGTAATTAGTTGATAGTTAAAGGCATAAAGCTACTTGGAATCTTGGATTTGTCTTCATGAGGCTGAGCCAATTGGAACTAGCACTCAGAAAGTAGTGATGGTGATATATACTTGATATTGCGTTCAAATATGTGGAGTTTGCAAAGAAGTCTTTTTTTTTAGTGGGATTGCCTCCATATATCTGGCATGCCATTTTGGTGGTCGAACTCTTGTATCAAACTCTTGCTGGCATTGTCTTCCTGTTCATTGCACCTTTGCCTGAATTGATTTTCAGCACCACCTTTTTGTTGATTGTGATAGAGAACAACTAACAAAGCTGGGCTTCTTTGTACGACAGATATTGGATTGTCTCAAGCTGATGAAGCACATTCCTGTGAACTTAATGAAGAGTTTGATACATCTTGGCATGCAGCAGATGTGCAGAGGAAATGAGATGCAATCGGTTGAGTACTGCCAGTCCGAGGGTGAGGATGGTTGCCGCAACTTGGCATCTGAAGGAGAGCTTGTATGGGCTGCTTGGCTTGCAACATTTTATGGCTCTACTATTCTAAGATATTAGCTTCTTGCCTTTGCTGTGTATATTGTCAATAAGTTTTGTCCGAGGGATGACTGCTCGTTATTAGGACAAATTTTTGTATATATAGTTAATTATGAGAAATTGTGTCTGGTATGGGAAATCCTGTGACGGCTTCCAAAATTTCAGAAATTCAGATTCTGGCAATTACACAGCCAACCTCCTTTGATTACCTCATATTTTACCCCTTGAAGTTGTAGGATTCCAATCTGAGATGTTACTTTTAATTTTCTCGAGTCGTAAAGAGCTTATGTTTTATTTGAATGATTTAATGGCTAAATGGTTCTGTTGGGTCATTAAAATCATTTAGTTTTTTCATGTTTGGTGTTTTAGTTCTGTAAGGTCGGCCAACTCGGACGTCACATTTTGTTTTAGTTCTTTTCATCTTTTGGTTATGTTAATGTTCCTACTCAATCAGATCAGAGAATGGAGACCACAACAATTTCTGATCCACTTTCACTTTTCTGGCTCAAGGGGCACAGCTTGAAAGCTCAAATAGTCTGAATCCTGGGAGCAGTCTACAAGATAGGTTGCTTGCTCTTGTTTTACCAATCTTTATTGCTTTGAGTATATTGCTTTGAGTACGTAGATTACTAACGTAAAATTGGATGCAGCCGGACGGAGTATCTGGCACTGCCTCAATATTAAGAAAGACCCTACTGCAATAGATTAGCTACACTCTTCAGTTGAAACAAATTCCTTGCTGGTGGCATTGGGCCTGCGTAAATTGAATACAGGTCCTCTGCATGTCTGCAGTATATTACATAGACAACCTGCAATTGCACTTGAGCTCTGAATCAAATAATTCCACTGAATTTCACTTCCATTGTTCCTATTTAGATATTATGGTATGCATAGCCCAATTGAATTAATCTTCCACAAAGATTGATAAAAACCTTATTTTATCAGTATTAATCTTGCTGAAGCTAAAGATTAAGTGTTGATCCCAGGCTGTCACTTTAGAGTACAGTAGATTATTGATTTTGGAACATCTGCAAGAGATTGCATAAAGCCTATCTCCCATCAAACTATCATACTTTAGAAAACTATAAGATTTAAGTTGCAGCAACTAAGGCATCAATTTTTTGTTCAATATGAGCCTCGTGATCTTCAAGACGACCTTTGATTGCATCATTTTCCCAACGGACTAGCGTAGGAACTCCTCTAAGCTTGAATGTTGAGTTCACCCTCCAGGGATGCTGAGGATTTCTCCAAGTTGGTCTATCTCCAACGTAAGCTCTCAAAAGGGCTATGTCATCTGATGACACTTCCAGCTTCTTGTATATCACGGGCTCAGCTCTCACACAATCTGCGAAAAGAAGAAAGAATTAGTATGTACTAATGAAATACAGAAGACCGCAAGATGGATTAAAGCGTAAAGGTAACTGATAAATAGGTGGTTTATTTTTCTTTATCCCTGGCACTCAAAAGTATTCCAAAAAAGAACGGAAATAGGCCAAACTAAAGCATCTAGAAATAAGCTTTCCATACATAAATTCAAGAGAAGGCACATATGCCAACCAACAAGAGAATTGTTAGAATACTTCAGGAGTGCAGAAAATGATTGAGACCCCCAACCCCTAACCTACTTGTGCGCAGAGAAAATACCAATTGAATTCAAGGAGGAAATGAGAAGAGGCGAAAAGGCGGTTGCAAGGGAGCAAGACCAATACAGCAATAGACTTTAGTGATTTTGCTAAGAACAAATCAGCTTACTGATTTCTGAAATTCAAAAGGAACGTGTAAACATCAATACCGTACATTAGTGAATACACCCATAGATTATATTGTATGCATTTCTGGCAAATAGATTACTTGGACAAACATGATAGCGTATAACACCCAAGGAATCTGCTAACAACCTAAACGGATGGAACATGTTACATAAAAGGTATCCAAACAAATGTGGGAAGGTTTTAGTATGCCAACAAATGTGGACCAAAACTGTTGGTAAGTGAATGAAGCCGGAAACTTCAATGAGACAGTAATATAATGGATGAAATCTTGGAGTTTGATCTTAGTCAATGTCCCCCCATTCATAGATTCCTATTCAGGCTGAATCTACTCCATGAAGTAGGGCTATACCTTCAAAAAATTATAACCAAGAAGGCAGTGATGAAACTCATTAATTTTCCCAGGCTAGGCTTAGACTCATCAATAGACTGATGAAGATTTTTTCTAGCAGCATTTCATTGTCTTACCAATCCTTAAGTGGAAAAGTTGAGTTAAATCAACATAGCTGCTAGACAGCCCTCCAACTAAAACGGCACTAAGCCAAGCAGTTCAGAAAAAGGAGCAAGCATCCATGCAGTATTAACAGACAGCAACAGATTTTGATATTTCAGTTGCTAAATCATCAGGAACCAACTTAAGATTACTACATAAGAGATACAGTAAATAACTAGGCATTTTGATAGTGAAGAAACCATGTTGAATCAAGTCAGATGCTGCTTTCAAAGCAATGCACTTCAGGTCTATACAGTTTCAAATCCACAATTAGTTTCTAAAACTCCAAAAGCTACCTCATTTTGGGATTTTAGTTTCCATTTAGCAATTTGCTAGAATTGGACTATAGAGAAAGGTCATATCACAAGTCACAACTGCACTATATTTATCCCTAAAGAAAATCAAATCAATTCCAAAGCACCCAAACTAGATCATCCCTTTCCCTCACTTGCAACAATTGACTGATTTTCTACAAATTGCACCACTACATAAAACTACCCTCCGAAATACTTCTCAAACTTAAAAAGAATTGGAAACGAAGAAAAGAATAGAAAAAGGAATACATGCAAACAAAAAAAAAGCCAAAACTGCAAAATTAGACAACGTAATAAACCATAAGCACGAAAGACCAAATAATTTTGACATGTGAAGAAAAGAAGAGATTTTCTTGGGGTTTGTATTTCAATTTTACCAGGGCACCAGGAAAGAGAGGTGGCAGGGTCTTTATCAGCCAAGAAAAGGATGAGATTGGCTTTGTAATTTGGGGCTTCTGCTTTGAACTTGTCAAACACCACATCAAAATTTGATAAGGTGGCATCCAACACCTTCATTGGCATTTTTTTTTCTCCCAATTGTCAATTGCTTTCCCCAAAAGCCTTCACTGTGTGTTGTGTGTGTGATTTTAAGGATTTTTGAGAATCCTAAGGATGATTGATATTTATGAGGCCATATTTCCACATTTATGCAACTTTATTTGTTTCCCTTGCCAGCAAAGTTCCGTGCCAACCCTCAATTTAGTCTGCTGTGTTTCACTCTTTTTATTCTCCCGTTTTCCAGGAAATTACTTTTAGTTTTTGTTAGTGCTGCAAACGAATGAACCGTTCGCGAATACGAGTTCGTTCAATATCGAACTCGAGTTGAGTTCAAACTAATCAAGTCGAATTCGAACTAAAAAATATTAAACTCATTGCGCTCGATTATATATATTTTTTATTTTAATAATAAAATTACATATATATTCCTAATATTTTATTATTTATTAAGAAAAATTAGTATTTTATTTATTTTTCAAAATAAAATAATTATTTTTAAACCTCGAACTTAATATTTTGAACTCATTGAACTCGAGCTCGAGTTCGAGATTCATAAAATTAATTGGAGGTTTAGTTCTTGTATAAGTTTCATTTTAATTTTAGACAATTTTGTTAAACCACTACCAAGGAAATTTTTGATTTTTATTGCTATTTTTAGGAGTTTTTACAGAAAAATATATTGTAACAATTTGATATATGTGAAATAAAAAGATGATTAAAAAATATGTTTAGAAAACGTAAAAATTTTTCTACAAAAAATTATAATCCAGAATGTTGCATGGCATAAGATTATGTTGGAGTAAAAGAATCTAATCCTACCTAGAAGAACGAATCTAATACAAACGGTAGAGTGTTATGAATATGGATTTCTCAAGAGCAAATCGATAATCACTAATCAATGACAAGATCAACTAACAGCTTTAATCAGTCTATTTTTCTGTGCTGGGGCACAAATAGATTTATGAAATGCTTTACACAAATTTATTTATTTGCGTCATAAACATATTTTTCAATCATTTTTTTATATGAGTAAATCTTATATGCACTGACAGTATATAGATTCATGACATGTGTACAAAAATTAAATTTTAAATTCAAATTTTGTATAGTTGTCATTCATCCAATGTTGACAGTGTATATACTCTATCACTGTAGGAAAGATTAAATTCAATATTTGCATAATAAACTCCTTATGAAGAAAAGGTTGTTTCGATTCGATTATCGACCAAATACTACTGTGAATAAACATATCACTATGTTTAATCAGTTAGTAGCAGACCTGTTAAATTTAGCTGTGAAATTTGAAGATGAAGATTTGGCTTTGATGTTATTATCATCCCTTCCTGATGAATTTGAACATTTGGAGACTACGTTATTTCATGGAAAGAAAAATGTGTCTTTAGATGCTATATGTTCTACTTTGTATAGTCATAAATTGAGAAAATAGGATAAAATGAAAAATAAAGTAGCTACAGCAGATGAAGCGTTAGTGGTAAGAGGTCGTCAGCAAAACCAATCAAAGGGGAGAAGAGAAAGGTCCAAATCGAAAAATAGAGTTGCTAAAGACGAGTGTGCTTTCTGTCATGAGAAAGGGCACTAGAAGAAAAACTGTCCAAAGTTGAAGAAGAAAGGAAAAACTCCTCAAGGCGTAAATGTTGCTGAGTGCAAAAGTGACGCGGAATCAGATTTCTCTTTGGCTGTATCACCTTCAACATCCCATCCAGATGAGTGGATTTTGGATTCAAGTTGTACCTACTATATGTCTCCCATGCGAGAGTGATTTTTTAAATTTGAAGAACTTGATGGTGGAGTTGTTTACATGAAAAATGACAATCCATGTAAAACAATTGGGATAGATTTAATCAAACTGCGTAATCATTATGGATCTACCAGAATCTTGAAGGATGTTCGGTACGTGCCGAATTTTAAGAAGAATCTTATTTCTTTGAGGGTCTTAGAGTCAAAAGGCCTGATTGTGATGATACGAGATGGAATTCTTAAAACAATTTCGAGAGCACTTGTGATGTTGAAAGGTGTGAGAAAGCATAATTTGTATTACTACCAACGTAGTACAGTTGTTGGGACAGCAGCAGCAACAACATCTTCCAGTAGCAAGAAGGATGCGGAGGCAACA